GAGACCATGGTCTCCACAGCCCTCCAGCAAGCAATTCAGTCCCTCAGGGAGTTTGGAAGTGTCTATGGAGCTTCCATGACCTTTCCTTGTACAAGTTGTGCTGGCTTCCCCAGTATAGTGTACTGTCTTACCCTTCACCAAAGTTAACACTTATCTATTGCCTATTTAGTTCCCCCCCAACCCCTCCCATCCCTCGTAACCAACAAAGATTGTTTCTTTTTGTGTGTAAACATTTACATGAGTTTTTACAGGAGAAGTCTCATACAATATTTGTCCTTTTGTGACTGACTTATTTCACTCAGCATAAGGTCCTCTGGTTTTATCCATGAGATGCTTCACAGATTCATCACTGTTCTTTACCATTGAATCATACTCCATTGTGTGTATGTACCATAGTTTATCCATTCATCTGTTGATAGGAATCTAAGTTGTTTCCATCTTTTTGCTATTGTGAACAGTGCTGCAATGAATATGAGTGTGCATATGTCTATTTGTGTGATGGCTATTATTTCTCTAGGATATGTTCCTAGGAGTGGGATTGCATTTTCTAGTGCTTTTTTCATGGTGCTGACATTTTCTTTGTTCCTCTTACTCTCCTGTGCTGAGTTCTTTTGTTTGTGGTTTTTTTCATTTCTTTTGTTTTTGTAGTTTTTCTTTTCACTGAGACTTTATGTTTTTCTTCTTTATTTTGATGGGTAGGTTTGTTAACTTTCTGTGTGGTTACCTTGAAATTTATCCTTATCTTCCTACATTTGAACCAGTCTATTATTACTTGTTATTGCCTCGCCTTCCTCTCCATTAGAAGGTTCTATACCTACACTGTTTAGTCCCTCTTTTATTGTTCTCATGCTGTTGTCATTTACAGATTAACCTCTCCAGTTCCATGTTGTAATTCTTTTTGTTTTGCCTAGTCATTAAGAGTTCATTTCCTAGGTTGGTATCTAGCTAGTACAATCCTGTGTCCTATATTCAGCCTGTGGTCTAATGTTGTTTGTTTTCAGATTTAAGAACTCCCTTTAATAAGCCTTGTAAGTTTGGTTTGGTTTTTACATAGTCCCTTTATTTCTATTTATCTGAAAATGACCTAATTTTACCATCGTATTTGAATGAGAGTTTTACAGGATTTATTATTCTTGGCTGGCATTTTTTTTTCTTTCGAGGTCTTATATATGTCATCCCATTACCTTCTTGCCTGCATGTTTTCAGCTGAATAATCCAAACTTAGTCTTATTATTTCTCCTCTGTATGTGACTTTTTGTTTTTCTCAAGCTGCTCTCAGGATTCTTTGTTTGTCTTTGGTTTTAGCAAGTGTGATTTTGATATGTCTTGGTGATTTTCTTTTGGGGTCTATCCTATATGGGGTTTGTTGAGCTTTTTGGATGGTCAGCTTTTC